CGAATTTTCAATTAACAAAACCACGGACTCTTTATTTAATTCTCATTGGAGCGCCATCTGCTTGGCTAATGAGCAACGGGGGTTGGGGGCATGAATAAATGCTATTTCTCTCACTATTTCCTAGATACAAACAGCTCACCGCAGCTCTCAGAATTCTATTTCAATTACGACATTTATTCAATATTGACGAAAAATTAAGTTTTAGGGGGGAAATCAAAAAACAAAACAAACATTTTGCACGCAGTCTATGAACACATACGTTTTTTCCCCCATAGAAAATAACATTTATAGCATTTGCTGGGAAACCTAAATTTGGTTCTAGGGCACGTACAGGCACTTGTTTCTGTAATAAATTTTTGACCCATAGCATGTTATTATTATACTATGGGTTAAAATTTATTCCCAAAACAAGTGCATGTGTTCTAGAGAGATAAAAATTTTCGAATACCAAACAATCAATCACTTTCACATTTATCTAAGCACTGGCTAATTTTCTAGGTGTTTCCCACTTCATCACCGGATGCTATCGCCATTTTCATTATCTGCTGCTAATGAGCTTGTGGGAATTATTTGTTCCAATTGGAGAACAGTTGATGAGCCTCGGATGAAACAATCTATCACTATTTATTACTAAGTCTTTACAGTCTATGCATTTTTTTCATTGATCTCTTTTGCCGCAGCAGACACGGGTCTCCAAAAAGGCCAGAGCTCATCCATAGGCTCAGTGGCGGATAATATTTCTGGCGTCATCCGGGTGTTCTGGGATGGAGTCACGTGGTGGCTTTACCTGCCGTGGATCGCTCTCCTGTGTCCTCAAACAGAAAGTGTGAGTCACTTTCACATTAACTTGTTCAGAAGCCTGGGATCAACCACAAGATTAGATCCTGATTTTTTAACCTTAATTAATTATATTAGTCATCCTGTTGTTTACCAATTTTAGCGTAATAAGCACCAGTCTTCTTTTTCTGAAGCATTTCTTCAGTATCTCAAATACATGTATGTGGCACAGGCGCCTGTTGTATGTGGTTTTAAAAATTAGTACTTTTAAAATTTTCTTGTGTAATTTGTGTTATCCAGAAAATGAAACTTCAAACTAGCCTTTTTCAAGCCTCTGACAAACTAGCCTTCTTCAATTCAAGATTACGAAAGCGATATTCTATTATAATTATTTCTTTATGGCAATGAAAAGCATAAAAAATTGAATCCCTACTCCAAATTGATAATATACCCTGAAATGATCAATTTATTGACTGTTAATCGTCAAATGCTACAGTTATCCTTCAGTTTATAGCTGTTTTGTAATAATGTGGCAGTCAAACAATTCATGAGGTAAATTGTTAATCCCTTGATTTGTCCTCTTGGTCGGACAATTTAACAACATTAAAACAGAGGAGATAAATGAATTAGCGAGCTCATAAATGGAGCATTGCTGATGATCTGATAAAATAAGGTGCGGATCAATTTATAGAGTGCACTATCGTCAACTTGAAGTTATATCTCCTGAAATCTCCACAAATTAATCAGTTGGTCATGTATCGTTACATTTTATTGTGATGAACGAGGCACAAGTGATGCAAGTTTCTGATTACTGAGAAACCAAAGACAGACGGTCTCTGAAGGCAGATGTCATATTCGGACAATTTCGCGTACAAAAACATTTATATTCTGACGAAAATAAACTAAAACAGTCACTGTGTATGTATAACTGCATGGTGCTGATATTCTTTATTGACTGTCAAATTACAAAATAATGCCTAGATTACTTAAAGTGTACAAAGGAACTGTTGCATGTAGACATTTGGGGTCGAAAGGAAGTGCAACACCTATTTGAACTAAATACCAACAGGTTTCTGACTCTGTTAACACCAAGACACGTTCAATATGTTCAATGTGTTCAGTGTAAAGAAGAATTTTTTAAATAATCAACATGGTAAGTTTTACAAAAAAATCAATATATATCATAGAACCCAATTTTGCCTTAAATCGGATCTCAAACTATTAAATTCTTTTGTCACATTTTTTTTTAATTTTCTGGAAAAAAAATCTAATTCCATCAGAACATTTAAAAGTGCATGAAAAAAAATTCAAATCATGTAAAATGCTGAAATTAAAACTTAAACTTTGCGTAATATTTAAAAGTGCACCTTCATCATCTGCATTTGCTGCATAAATAATTACATATCATTCCACACACACCTGGCGTAATATGGTGTAATTATCATAGCCATTCTCACATCCTAGCGTCGACTAATTTTCGGAATGATTTACTTCAATGGCTAGGAGGAACGCTTCCTGGAGAAGGCGTGGCCTGTGATGTAAGACGTACATCATACAGATTATTTAGAATTTATAACATGTATTTCATTTAATGTCATTCAGTTCAGACTGTTAGAAAGTGTACATGTTTGCATACATTATTTGGCGAATATGCCAGGTGTTAGTTTGAGAGGTTATTGCCCTATTACATAGAGTTTTTCAAAAGAGCATAAAGAGTATACTGTCGTGTATACCTATATACAATATACATTGTGAAGAATAAAATCCAGGCTACCCCCCCCCCCTTCCTAAAAATATATATCTTGAATTTATCAAAATTTAATTCATAAAAATGTACTTTCGCTAAGAACTGGTCAGTAAAAAATGTATTTTATTACATAAATAAAGTACTAGTAATAAATCTTGGTCTTTTGGCAATCAAAAAATTAGATAAATACATGTATCCAATCTCAAATGGGGAGAAAAATATGGTAAAACATTCATTAAATTTTAGAAATCAATCAAAATTGCTAGCAAAAATAGATATTTGTTGATATTTTATCGGATAATGAGTCAATGCGTCGCCTAGCTGATGAAGGTACTTGAATATTGACATTTTATCGGTTTGAGTCACCGCAATGCAGGATCAGGTGTGCAAACTTCTGCAGGAATCAGACATTGCAACGGTGCCGTGACTAATCCGCAGCGTCAAGCAATTAACGGAATATAAATTCAATAGGCAAGATGAAACAGAATAAAGAAAAAAAAAACCATTATCTTGTAATCGAGTATCAATCAATCCTTGTATTTTGTACAGAAAAACCATTACTTTCTAATTCCATTTGATTCAAGATCAAAAAATGAAATTTTATGGCGAAAACTTATCTATTATTTATAAGAATGTTCCACAATGTTTTGTTTTGTTTTGTGCATTTTTATCATTTGTGCATGTTTTTATTTTGGTTATATAATATATTTTGTAATTAAATATGAATATCTGTATGAATTTCGCTCTTTTGTTAGTAGTATGATTACACCATTACATTTCAATAAGGGACCTTAAAGGTGAGCAACAGGCCTGCATGGGTAAAGCCTACAGATACTCCCAGACTTTAGGTCTCTTTAGATCAGTCATGTGAAATGTTTAGATCAGTTATTTGAAATACATAATATATTATGATTTTGTAGTTATTCTTTATTCATAATAATAAACGTGCATGTAACATCTAACAACATTTCTGAAATGCTAATTACACTTCAAGGTCAAACGATAACAGGTTGTTACCCAAAGAAAGGACATAATATCAAAATGATATATTAAAATTAATATTAAAATTTAAATATTAAAGCCAAAGCACCATTCAAAAGTTACCTGGAGTATAGTCAAGGTTAATGGGTTTTCTTTTTTATCAAAGTGGGTCAAACTTCTAGATCAAGGTCAAATGATCAAAATGAATAGTACCAAGGGTAAGGCCGTATCATAAGAATTACTTATGTGAAATTTTTAAAGCCCTTACATCACCTGTTCAAAAGATATGTCAAAGTTGATCATTTTTTTCAAAAGTACATGTAGGTCGATCTCCAAGGTCAAAAGGTCAAAACTTTTGATATTCAAAAGAAATTGTTGTCACAAGAAATGCACGTGAAATATAAAAGCCCAAGAGCTAACTATTCAAAAGTAAAGACAATTTGTTATTTAATATTTTTTTTTTTAGGTGGTCAAACTCTAAGGTCAAAAATCTTTAAACCGTTGGAAAGGTCTTGACAGAATGAACTAATATACACATGTGAAAATGAAAGCCCTGGCACAAACATTCATTCAAAAACTATGTCCAAGGTTAAAGTTTGCAAAAGTGCGTCAAAGTCCAAGGTCAAATATGTTGGTAACCAAAGGAAGTTCTTGGCACAAGGGATATACTTGAGTAATATGAAAGCCAAAGCTCCAACCAACCAAACGTTGTTGGCAAGATTAAAGCATGTGTTAAACAGACAAACAAACAGACTATTCATTACCAAATCTTTGATTACAGGGGCATGAAAATTGATTATTCTTCATTGTAAATGTTGGTTCGATTGAAGTTGCAATGAGTGGCCTGAACAAATCATTGGCAAAGAAAGATAATTCTAACACATACTATATTCCAACGTGCGAATAAAAAGGAAAGAATGGTTTCCCCTTTAATGTTCCACCCGTACACGACGCACATATAAGACACCCTTGACTCCAGTATAAGCTTGTGTGTTTCACAAAATCATATTTAGGAGAAAGAAGGTCCTTTAAACGCTTCCTCTTTTAATTATTGTAGATCCATGAAATCCCTGGTTTTATCTCTAGGACATTTGTTTTATCTGCAGGTATATTGAGAACCCAAGGAGAAACGTATTTGAAATCATATTTGTTGGACTCACCAAGGGCAGTAAATATTATCCCTGATTTAACGATTTATATTGATCATTTGAAAATCAAGTATATCTCACAGGGCCCTGTAGTTTGATCCACGGGACCTTTATTTTTTGCCAGAAAACAATCAAGATTACATATTTCTCCATCTTTCATTTAATCCAGTTAAAAATTTCTTCATTTCGGTCGATGGACATGTATTTTAATGTCAAAGGTAATGTCATTTGGTGTCATCATATCCTGCTTTGGTCAAACTGTGAAATTCTTGACTTAATGATAAAGGTCTCATATGGAAGACCCGTCATATCTTATCGCTCTAAATATATACTACGCTATAAACACAATGACGAGGTAAGAATTATATTAATCATATTACAGGCGTTTTCCTTTAATTGACTAGAAATAGAATTGCAATTTTAATTGCAACAAGAAATAGAATTGCAGATACGGCAGTGCAGAGTCAGAGGACGCAATTATTTCTTTTTTGTACTCTTTTTGCACCACAATAAATTAAAACAACATCAACACAAAACTTCTTAAAGATAAGATAGAAACACAAACCATACATTGATGTTTAAATTTTTAAACTGATTTTCAATATCATTGACTTTATAAAGAAAAAAATCTTCACTGAATCGGATGAAATCGAACGTAGAATTTCTTTGGACTATATGTCACCTACTATATAAATCTATACAAACTGTTGCACACGTTTTCTGGAGATAATACAAAAACAACCAAAAAATTTCTACTTATCATTTTGCAAACATTATACAATTCTTGGTGGCGTCTTATAGATTCGCTGGTTCTGCTAGAGGCGTTTCTCCTTCGAATCATGGTAACAGTTTCTTTTTGAACGAATTTCAAAGATCCTCTAAATTGATCGTTCTCCTAACCTTATCGTATTCTTTCAACTTGTTATCATATGCATTTAGTACAGGATAAAATTCTAAATAAACAATCACGAGAAATAAAAATTGCAGAGTTCCACTTTCATCGCAAAAGCAGTAGTCTTTCTTGGAAAAAAATATATATAAAGTACATGTATAAATTTAAGCGTACCCATTGAAAACACAAATATTTTGATGCTATTGATTTTCGAAAAAAATTAACCTAAAGGTTCTTTGGCATTTCTGAGAAATTACATTCGATTTACACCTATTCTTGAATGTATTTGTGGAGCGACGTTTTTGTTATTAAATCATAAATTCATATAAGTTTTATAGCATTCATATAATGTGTACATGACCTCATTTAAATCAAATTAAATGTGAGTGAAACGTGTACTTTCCTTTCAGTTGGCTGCATGCGGTTACTTTGGTGACTTTGTTTCTCCTTGGGTTCGGATTTGACCTAAATGACCCCAAAACCAACCTCGAATCAGTTCTCCGCACTTCTGCAACACTGGCTTCCCATGTAGACGTCGTTAACTATATAAACGGCACTGTTTATGGCAGACGACCCGGAGAAACTGTCACCAAGTTGTTCTATTTTGAGGGGTACAATATTGGCCAGAAATATCCAACAGGTGACGGGAACTACATGTCCCTGTCAAGGGAGTTCCTTGTCTATCGTGACATTCACACCGGACATATATTGCAGGTTTTCCAAAATCCCTTTTCTGGTGTGCCGAATGAAGTCTTCTACGTCTCTAACGACCCCGTCAATGGCGAATTTCAGCTTGGAAGCTTAACGCCATTTATTCTTTTGTCGGAAAATGTTGTTGCATTTAACCTGGATTTTGTGTTGGAGTACCCCAATGCTTTAGACCCTGAGAAGTATCCGAAATTTTCAGCTGGTAAATTTTATAACTCGGTTGAACTGTTCTCGTACTTTGCTAACTACTCAGCTCTTGCAACAACCAATGCTTCGAGTGTTGACGATGTGAATACTTGGTCGAGGCATTCTCAGTTTTTACCTTGGTTAGAAATGGCAACAATACCAGGATCTTTGTTTTATACCACATTGACATGGAAATGTGAATCACTTTCATGTGTGTCACGTGATATTATGGAATTAATAAATTCTACATTTCCAAAATACAGACAAGCACCTAAAACATATGAGGAACCAAATGAAACGTCATGGACACAGTTCCAAAAAGCCATCGACCAGCGACGTGCGGAGGGAAAACCTGACATTCTTATTCCCACTGTTAATATTACTCGTCCAGACAGACCAATTGCACCAACTGTAGACGAGAGGATTCTGCAAGTTTTGATGAATAAAACGCTCACTTTGAACTACAACGGGAGTTCCTTTACTCAAATCCACAGCCAACAAAGTGTGAAATTTTTCAATGTAGAGGGACAAATATCGTTTCAAATGAAAAAGTCACAAAATGGAGATTTCCTGATTTCTTTAAAAGACAGAAGAATATACAGAAACGTCACCGACGGCAAGGTCATGACGTCATTCAATAATCCTTTGACACACATCACAGTTGATATACCTCGCAATGTGCAATCTATGAATCTGACCATTCATGCTGATGATACAATGACTATGGAAATCCCGAAACCAAAGGCTATCGGTCTTTTGATGACTCATTCAAAGAGCATTACATTTGGACCTTCAACGGTAAATGAAAGATGGTCGGTGACAAACATACAAGCTATATTCCAAGAGTCGTTCTTGCAGGATAGAAAACCATATTTCTATGGAACAATTTCCGAGTTTTCGAGTTGGCCGCTTTGGATGAAAATGAATAATAGCATATCAGGAAATCTTGTGACAAAGGTTACTTTTGGACGATCAGTTCATGGCCATCATCAGTGAAATCAATATGTAATAATTTTGATATTCTATATACATTCCTTATATTGGTAAACGGTAAAGATTTGAATGCTTGTATAAATACCATGCATTTTCTACTTGGAAACATTATATTAAAAGTTAGTTGAGTCTGGATCGATTTGGAACAATAAAATGAGTAGGAGGAAAGAATTGGTTGTTAGTTCTACTGGTCAAAGAACAGGAAAGCTTGTGCGATAGTAAGATGTCCGTCCGTCTGTCTGTACACAATTTATTTTCAAAACGCCACTCCATCTGGCAGTAGTGGACTCCTTCTACAAGCCACTTCTTCTACGCGCCACTCCTTCTACATGCCACTCCTTCTACATGCCACTCCTTCTACTCGCTACTCCTTCTACATGCCACTCCTTCTACACGCTACTCCTTCTGTACACGCCACTCCTTCTACATGCCACTCCTTCTACGCGCTACTCCTTCTGTACACGCCACTCCTTCTACATGCCACTCCAACTACAAGCTACTCCTTCTGTACACGCCACTCCTTCTACACGCCACTCCTATTACACGCCACCTCTTCTACTTGCCTCCTCCTTCTAAGTGCCTCCTCCTTCTACATGCCACTCCTTTTACACGCTACTCCTTCTATATGCCACTTCTTCTACATGCTTCCTCCTTCAAAATGCCACTCCTTTTACACACTACTCTTTCTACACGCCACTCTTTCTACAATGCACTTCGACATGCCTCCTCCTTCTACAAGTCACTCCTTCTACACGACACTCCTTCTTCGCGACACTCCTTCTACACGACACTCCTGCATGTTACTCCTTCTACACTATAAGCTGGCACACAAGTAGACTACACCAAGATACATTATTTAGTGCATCGGTTATTGATTATGATAAATAGTTCTGCCTTGGTTACTAAAAATAGATTTTTTTGTATCATTACTTTCAAGTGCTACTTAGTCAGATTTCAATTGGCTAGCGAAGATGACTGCAGTGTAACAGTGTAATCCCAGGAGAAGCTGTACATTTTTATTTTGTACTATACACCGGTCTTCCCCCCACCCATCTCTCTTTTTTTTTCTAATTTCTGATGTACAGACTCGGTTAGAAACGGTATTCCTCTATTAATAATCACATGTTTACTTTTTAAATGTCTGTGTATTTGTTTTATAAACATATCTGTATATTTTTATCGTTAGGCTTTTTTTTGCTAACACACACTTTTTGTACAGAATTGTCTTTAAAACCATCCTTATTTTTGCATGCTACCTAAATGTACACTTTTTAAATCCATATTAAAATTCAGTGCAAAACATTAAAAAAACAAGATTTGTTTGTGAAACACTACGCGCCCGGCGGCAACGAAGTTCGAAAAAGCTATTTTTATCATATACTAGTAGGTCACAGTCAAGGTTACAAGGACATTGACCTTGGTGTCATTTGAAAGAAGTTAATTAGTGGAGTATGCATACTAAATATGACGTCTTTATCTCTTGTGGTTCAAAAGTTATGGCGAAGGTCCAAAAAAAGGTTATTTTTAGCATATACCGGTAGGTTACAGTCAAGGTCAGTAATTGATCTTTGTGCCACATGAAAGAACTTAATTAGTGGAGTCTGCATACCAAATATGCAGTCTATATCTCCTAAGATTTAAAAGCTATTTTTAGCATATAGGTCTCAGTCAAAGTCACAAGGTCATTGACTTTGGTGTCCTTTGAAATAGCCTTATTATTGGAGTATGCATACCAAATATGAAGTCTCTATCTTTCATGGTTCAAAAGTCATGGCGGAGGTTCAAAAAAGCCATTTGAAAGAGCTTAATTAATGGGGTAAACATATCAAATATGAAGTTTCTATCTCTCACGGTTCAAAAGTAATGGCGAAGGTTAAAGATTGCAGACAAACAGCTAAACAGACAGACAGACAGACAGGACAAAAACAAAATGCTGGGGTATAAAAATACCCCCCTTAAAGGACATCAACTTGTCCTAATTATTCCTTATGACAAATTAAGCTGAATATAAAAAACAACAAAATATGAGAAGGTAAGGGTAAATCACTTTCTCTCGATTTTAGATATTTACATATCAATCTGATTAAAATCAGGTGTTCTGATATGCTATCACTTGATCAGCTGATTTTAATTTCAAGCTCAATCAATCAAGCACCGTTCACGGTAGCTCAGTCAGTAGAGCGCTCGCTTCGTGATCGGGAGGTCGTGAGTTCGTATCTCGGCCGCGACTGACCCAGTCGATAAAATGGGTAGCAACTGTTCCTTCGCCATGCGCTCGGCACTTTGAAGTGAAAGTTGCGGGTCCTTCGGATGAGACCTTATAACCGAGGCCCCGTGTCAGCGACAGGCGTTGGCACGATAAAGATCCCTCACTGCTCAATGGCCCTGAGTGCCGAGTAAAGGTCACAATTTGAAGCCCTTCACCGGCATACGGTGACGTCTCCATATGAGTGAAAAATTCTCGAGAAGGACGTTAAACAATATACAATCAATCAATCAAGCTCATTCATAAAGTAGCTCAGTACGTGGAACTCATTGCCGTTTACAGCTAAAAATTCTCCGAGTCGCCCGCGTGGCTCTGTGTTTAGCGCGTCTGCTCTAATTTCGCGATCTTTACGTAGCGGATTCGAATCCCACGAATCCCACTGTGCGACATGGAGACCGGTCCTTCGGATGAGAATTTATAAACCGAGGTCCCGTGTCGCAGTAGGTGCTGGCTCGATAAGGATCCCTCAATGGCCGTAAGTGACGAGTGTAGGACAAAATTTGCAGCTCTCTATCGGCAAGTGGTGTCGTCTCCATATGAGTGAAAAATTCTCGAGATGGACGTTAAACAATATTCAAACAAACAAACAAAATGCTCAGGACATTGTTTCATATGACATTTCATGTAGATTCTCCATTCGCAGAAGCGGAAAAATTGTTAGAATATTCATCAGTCGTATATTTTTAAAATTAATTCTGGTTGTAACGCTGTTTTTGATTTGATAAAAAAAAGTACAGTAACTTTATATCGTATAAAATGGCAATCTCCCATGCAGAATTGTCGTTCGTTCCTCTCTCAGACACGTGAATGTATCAATCGCAACTGGTGAATGTATGAGCCGATGGTACAGAGCGATGCGTCACAGTAACATAACAAGAAAATAAAAATTATCGGTAATAGAGAGAGAGAGGGGGGGGATGTGTGTGTGTGCATTAATATTAATTATTATTAAATTAAGTTTAAATTTTATTTAATATGTTATTCGAACCTACGACGTAAATGAGCAATCACAAAATACAGAAATTTCAAGGTTCCGCTTTTATCAAAGAAGCAGAAGTCTTAATGGTTGTTTGGTGTTTCTACGAAATTACATTTGATTTACACCAATTCTTGTATACATTGAAGAACGAAGTGTTTTGTTCATTAATTATACATACATTATTATGTCTTAAAGGCGTTCATAATGTATACATGATCTCAAAAATGTTTCTTTCAGTTTGCTGCATGCGTTTACTTCTTTGGCCACTTTGTTTTACTTCGGTTTTGGATATTTGATCTCGCAATATTCAATATATGAATATCACCGTTCTTGCTGATGCAACAACTATGGAAATTCCAAAACCAAAGGCAATCGATCTTTTGATGACACATATGAAAACTTTTGGACCTACAACAGTAAATGAAAGATGGTCGCTGACGATCACACAAGCAATATTCCCGGAGTCGTTCTGCAGGACAGATTTCTATGCAAGAATTTCCCAGTTTTCAAGTTTGTTGTGTTGGATAAAAACATCTCTCTGCGAGACCGTTGCTTCTCGGGCGGGACACTTGTCTCGAGTGTGTACTGTCGCGTTTCCACATCTGCCACAGCCTGTCAGGTTGGTTTTGTTCGCTGTCCGGGCTGGTTGTCTGGAATTTGCTTTTTTCTTTTGGAATCTTACTGCGTCCATGTTGTTTACGGGTACCTCTGGGGTTGTTGACTCTCTCACAATCGGCTGTTGCTTCTTGATTGTTTCGTTCTGCCTGGCCATTAATATCGCTGACTCCAGACAGAGTTTTGAATCAAGTTGTAATTTTTCTGATAGTTTTCTGTCCTTCAATCCAACGACTATCCTGTCTCGGATAAGGTCATCATGTAGGGCGCCATAGTCGCAATATTCGGCGAGGACATGAAGGGCAGTGATGAAACTGTCAGCTGTTTCGCATTCCTCCTGCTTCCTTTGGTTAAATTTTGCTCGCTCGAATATAACGTCACTTTTTGGAATAAAGTACTTTGATAGTGCTTCTTTAACTGGCTTCCACTTCACACTATCACCACTGGAAATTTTTAAAGATGATAGGATGTCGTTAGCCTCCGGTCCCATGAAATAGATCAGTGTGCTGACTTGTACGTCCTCATCTGCTTCACAAAGTAATGAGGCGAGTCGGAATCTCTCAAATCTTTGGAACCATTTTTCCAATCTCTCTGGCTCTGTAAAGTCAAATTTTTCCGGGTGAGCAAATTGAAATGATGCCATGTTGGTACTGGGGTAGTCCTTTTTTAACTTAGAAAAGTATTAACACTGCTGCCACCATGTTGTGTTAGATAATAACCTAAAACAGGGTTCGTTATATACATATATTTATTCTGCTACAAACTACATCCAGCTACATAGTAACTGTTACAAGATACAAACTGTGTGCCTCTCTATAGGTTCTCAAAATCTCCCACTCCCATACTGCACCCATATCATGTATCATGTACATCAATCAGCTTTCATTCATTCATTGCAGCCAGCGTGGGAATATTAATCTGACTGCAGACTTTTTTTACACTACAAAGTTGGACGCTTTGGATGAAAATGAATAAAAGCATATCAGGAAATCTTGTTATTAAAACTATTCAACCGTATTAATAGCGGATATTACATTTGGACGATTTGTCCATACGACCATCATCAGTGAAATCAGAATAGTACATTCCGATAAATACAAAATATGTATACTAATAACTTGATTGTAAAGCCATATGTGTTCATCATAAATTGTTTAAAAATATGATAATTACATGCATAAAGGTAATTTGTTTAAGATTTGGTTTGGCACAATAACATGGCTGTAGGTAAGTGTTGGTTTCTCGTCAAGAAGTTCATCAGCTTTTTATC